CTAAATTTTTTATAACTAGACACAAACCAGCCAACAGACTATTTTGTTTGGGCAAAACCCCTCCACCTCATTAAGGTGATAGTGATTCGTATCTCCATATTTATGTGTTAATCTTATTCCTCATATTTTGTTTGGATACCCAATGCCTTTTGTGTCTATTGGTAAAAAAATAATTTTGTTTATAGAAATTTTTAAACTCTTTTTACACTATGTATTATAAGTTTATCTTATTAAATTTATTTATTTTTAAAAATTGATTAATAATGTTTAGTTGCAATTTTAATTATAATTTGTTTGACCTTTTTAATTTATTTAGTCAAAAAATTATTAAGATTTTCTTAATGTACAATTTGTAAAAAAATTTCTTTTAATTTATTTGAATCCCTTAAATATGTATATACAAAAGAACTTAACTCTTTTATCATAAACAAATTTTTTGAGGGTATTATGAGTATCAACACAACAAAAAAGTTATGCAACAACTATGTTTAAATTTTTTCATAAATTATTAAAAATTGTACCAAATATATTTACAGCTTATTTTATTTTTTTAAAAAACTAATAATCTATAAAAGTAATATTATAAATATAAGGAAAATAGTAAATATGCCGTTTCTCACTTCTATATAGAACAGATCTAGGCATCTAGTTAAAAAATTGCACAGTCAAGCGGCCACATGCAACTTTGAAAATGCTAACCATTTTTTTATATAACAAATTAAAGGGTAAATTATTAGGTATTACTTTTAGATTTATTATCCATTAAGTTATATTGATAAATTTATTAAGTAATAAATTTATCAATTTTTTATATTTTTATGAATAAATTTACAGTGATAAATTTATTAGTCGGGACTTGTAGATAAATAAGTCTAATTAATATGATTGATTAGTTAGTGCTCCCAAATTAAATAGGTAGTCCTTTAATTTTAATTTATGTCAGTTTGATTTCTATAATTTCAATTGATTTGATTTTGATTACGAATTTATTATTTTTTTAAAAAAGAAAAATGAGCACATAAAAAAATGAAAGCAAATGTATCACAATAGATGGAGACTTTAATCACGACAATTTGAGATGTTCATCGTCACCTGACGTGTTTTCTCATTTAGATCTGTGAGTAATGGGCGCCCATGTGGCATGACCATTTGAATTTGAATTTGGAATCCTATCCAAATAGGTTTTGAAATTGAATTCAAACCTATTTAGGATAACCACTCAAGATACAGTTATTATCAGTTTTTAACTGATATGGATAGATATAATAATATATTATATATCTGATATATGGTTATGGGTAATCAAGAGAGAAACAACGTATGATCAGTTTCTACCCATATACTGACTCTCTCCTAAAAACAAACGATCAAGTCATTTGTACTGTGATTTGTGTGGGTGATATTCAATCTGTGATATCACTTCACTGCTGGGTTGGTTTATAAGATTCTGGAAGCACGTGATTTATCCACGAGGTTCTATCATAAAAAAGGTATGATCTAAACATTTTATCCGCTGCATATTTTGTGTTTTGATTTACATTGGTATCAGAGCCATTGATGGATATTTTCGTGTTTCTTTTTAATCATGTGTATATTTTTAGGCTCGGCTCATTAATATTAATGAAACTCGAGCTCGGCTCGGCTCTATAATTTTTTTTAATATTATTTATATTATTTAATATATAAATAATGTATTTGTACTATTATTTACATATATTTATATATTACTTAATATATAAATAATATATTTATTATATAATTTAAATAAAAATAAACGACGAGCTTAGGCGAGCTCGAACTCAACTTGTTTACTAAACGAACCGAGTCGAGTCGAGTCGAACCTTTAACGAGCCGAGCATAGCTTGTTTATAAACAACTCGGTTCATTTAAACTCTAGCAGCAGCAACAAGTTAGAAGGGGGTACATCTAGCGGCGGAGGGACGTTGGGGCGAGGGGAGTCACGTGACCCCCCTGACTTGTAAATTTTTTTTTTTTTTTTGGTGGGGTCTTGCTTACACTTACACACAGTGCCCTTTTCTATACATAATACAAACACATTGACACACCACACCCCACGCACCCACGGTTTTTTTTTTCTTTTTTTTGAATCCCAATCCTAACCAAACACTAACACACAACTTTTATTTTGGGTGAGTGCACACAACTCCAATTACGGCAAGATTAAAACCCTAAAACTTTAAAAGTGTATAAAATTTTTTATTTTTTTTATTTGTTCACAATACTTGTTAAGTGTCTTCGTATTTTCTTTGTCTTCTTTGTCTCCCTTTATTATTTTGCAATTTACCGACTCACAATTCACCAGATTAGGATCACACAACACAGATTTGAGACCACACTACAATCTTGGTATCTTCTCTTCATTATTTACAAGTAACTTTATTTATTTTTTTTTACTTTTAAATAAAAATTATGAGTATTGATTTGTAGTTATTTGTCAAGTTTTGATTTGTAATTTTTTTTTATTTGTTATTATTTATGTTAAAATAAGAGATTTTGATATGCTAAAATTATGAATCTTAATTTGTACTGATTTATATTAAAATTAGGGATTTTGGTTTGTTATTGTTTGTGCTAAAATTAGGGATTTGATTTGTGCTAAAATTAAAAATATTAATTTGCAATGATTAATAATTAAATCACTCCAACAAAAACACATTTTAGTGACACCATACTAGTGGCATGTTCTTAAAAAATGTCACAAAAAGAATATTTGGTGGCATTTTTTAGAAAAATGTCATAGAGCCACAAACAAACAAGGATCTAGTGGCATTTCAATTAAAAAAAGTGTCACTTCATTACAACAAAAATGCCACTACAACAAATTTACACTTTAATGACACTATACTAGTGGCATGTTTTTAGAAAATGCCACAAAAATAAAAATTGGCATTAAATGTTTTAGAAAAATGCCACCGAACCACAAGCATATAAGGCTCTAGTGGCATTTCAATAAAGAAATGTCACATCAATTTTATGGCATTTTATAAAATAATGACACAAAATTATGTTCGTGACATTTACCAACAGATGCCACTAAACTTTAGTCGCAATGGCATTTTTTTAAAAATGTCAGGACACTGGGTAGGTGCAAATTACTTTTTATGGCATTTAGGTGAAAAGTGTCATTAACAAATATTTTATAGCATTTTGAGAAATGCCACTAAGCCAAAAACTTTCCAAACTCATAATGGCATTTTTGAAAAAAACAAAAAATGCCAATATATTTTCTAAATTTTTAAAATCCAGTAAATGATTAAAAATAAATAAATTAAACTCAATATACACTATAGGAAAAAGCACATTCGGCGACTAAATTTACTAACCAAAAAAAATTTGGTTGCTAACTGCATTAGTTGCCAAAAGTAAAGCTTTTTGGCGAATAAACAATTTTAGTAGCCAAAAGTCTACAATTGGCAACTAAAACTAAGTTTGGTCGCTAATTATATGGGTTTTAGTGACTAAAAAATTTTTAGTAGCCCAAAGTAAAGCTTTTTGACGACAAAAAATTTAGTAGCCAAAAGTCTACAATTGGCGACTAAAAATAAGTTTAGTCGCTGATTATATGGGTTTTACGGACAAAAAAAATTTTAATAGCCAAAAGTAAAGCTTTTTCGTACCAAAAAAAATTTTAGTAGCCAAAAGTCTACAATTGATGACTAAAAAATAAGTTTAGTCGCCAAAAGTGGTCATTTTTAACGCGGGAGAACTAAAATCCTAAGGCAGGAATTAAATTTTTTGGCGACCAAAATTTTGGTAGCTGAAAGTGCATCTTCGGTGACCAAATCCGATTTTGGTCGGCAAAAGTTAAGTTTTTTAGCAACTAAAAAATAATTAGTAGTCAAAAGTATAGAATTGGCGACTAAAAAATATTTTTAGTCGCCAAAAGTGGTCTTTTTTTATTTTGCTAGTAAATAGTTTATTTTATATAAATTATGTTCAATAAAATAATTATGTTTATATATATACTTTTATATTAATATAGATGTATGTACTATATAAATAATATATGTTGCATATATAATCATGTGGAATAAAGGTGTAGTGGGAAGAGTATGGTGTACAAGGTTTATGGTGCGTGAGGTTGATGGTTCGAGTCTCCTCAAGAGCAGATCAAATTGTTCTACAACGAATTATCGTCACGAATGGCACTTGACAGCATCACGAATAGTGCCTACCATGACATTAAAGTGTCACTGAAAGGTTTTAGTCTTGATGGTGTAATGACACTTATAAGTGTCACTAACTCTTTTTTTAATGGCGCTTGATAGTGCCACAAATAATATCTACCACGACATCAAAATGTCATTGAAAGTTTTTAGCCATGATGATGTAGTGACATTTGCAAGTATCTACCGTGGCACTAGTATCTACCGTGGCACGGATACAAATGGCACTTGTTCAAAATGTCACAAGACTAAAAAATGTCATTAAACCAATAGTTTTGTGGCACTTTCAAATGTCACTAAATTAAGAAAATGTTGTAGTGAATCAGGGATTTTGATTTGTTATAATTTGTGCTAAAATTAAAAAAATTTATTTGTTGTGATTTTTGCTAAATTTAAATTTTTTTGATCTGTATTATAATTGGAGAATTTGATTTGTGGAAGTTTGTGATTTTGATTATGAATTTTTATTTTGATTTTTAGTTTTTTCAAAAAGTCATGGAGAAATATTTCAAAAGAAAATCAAAGTTGGAATCATCTCTTCTTCAAGAAGAAAATGATAATTATTCTTCCACAAAATAAAGTCACATAGAAATCAACTTAGTAGACCTTTCTGTAGATCCAGGACTACGGCCTTGGATTATGGTCTATAATGCTAATGATCGAGACCAAATTCGTAGGGATATCTACAAAAAGGTCCTTGTCAACCACGTGATCATAATTTCCCACAAAAATCATTTGAACAAAAACTTCGGTGATTTAATCAGGCTTAGTTTAGTGAATTTCCTAATTGGTTAGAGTATAGCGTAGCAAAAGATGCAGCATTTTGTTTATGTTGTTATCTTTTCAAACCCAATATTGGAGATCAAGCTGGTGGTGCTTCTTTTGTTGGTGAGGGTTTCGCAAATTAGAAGAAAAAAGAAAAAATTCAGACTCATGTTGGAGGTCCCAAAAGTGCTCATAATCAAGCTTCGAGTAAATGTCAAGACTTGTGAAACCAAAACCAACATATTCAGACAATTTTTTTCAAACAATCTGATCAAGCTCTAATTGAGTATCGAATCTGTTTGAATGCATCGGTTGATTGTGTCAAATTTCTTCTAAGACAAGGACTTGCATTTTGTGGGCATGATGAATATGAAAGTTCAAGTAACCAAGGAAATTTTTTTGAACTTCTCAAGTTTCTTGCTGATCATAATGAAGATGTCAAAGTGGTTGCATTGAGCAATGCTCCACAAAATCTCAAGTTGGCATCTCCTGATATTCAAAAAGACATTGTAAATGTGGCCGCATTTGAAACTATCAATGTGATTATTAGAGATCATGGTGATACACTTTTTTCTATTTTGATTGATGAAACCTGTGACATATCAATCAAGGAGCAAATGGCAGTTGTAATACAATACGTTGACAAAAAAAGCCAAGTGATTGACCGCTTTTTGGGTATTGAGTATGTTGCTAATACGAATGCTCTCTCACTCAAACAAGTTGTGGAAAATTTATTCTCCAGACTTGGATTGAGTATTTCCAGATTGCGGGGTCAAGGATATGATAGGGCTAGTAATATGCAAGGTGAGTTCAAATGGTCTTAAAACACTTATATTGAAAGAGAATCATTGTGCATATTATGTTCATTGTTTTGCTCATCACTTTGGTTTCTAATGTGGTGAATGTTGTTGGAGCATCATATAAACGCTGAGATATTGTTAAAGAGAAGTAAGTTGCAAAAGTTGCTGAGGCACTTGATACTGGAGAGCTATCTAGTGGGTAAGGCTTAAATCAAGAAACTAATCTTAAACGTGCTGGTGATACACGTTGGGGTTCACACTATGGCACTTTAATCAACTTGGCTAGTATGTTTTCAATAGTGATTGATGTGCTTGAAATGATTTCGGAGGATGGTTCAAATTCAGAACAACGAGCAAAAGCAAATTTATTGTTGGACTTAATTCAATCATTTGAGTTTGTATTCAACCTTCATTTGATGAAAACGATATTGGCTATTACAAGTGAGTTATCGCAAGCACTACAAAGGAAAGATCAAGATATTGTTAATGTCATGAATTTAGTTCAAATTTCTAAAGTACGGCTCCAAAAGATGAGGGAGAGTGTGTGGGCATCTTTACTCGATGATATTTTGTCTTTTTGTAAAAAGCATGAAATTGATGTTCTTCAAATAGATGATATGTTTGTAGTTCGAGGGAGAAAAAGGCGCAATGCTCAAGAAATTACAAACTTACATCATTATCACGCTGAGTTATTTTATACTGTTTTGGATATGCAAATTCAAGAACTAAATGCTTATTTCACTGAGTCAAATACTGAGTTGTTACTTTGTGTGGCATGTTTGAATCCATCTAACTCTTTCTCTAGTTTTGACAGGAAAAAATTAATTCATCTTACTGAATTTTATCCCAAAGAATTTTCTTTAGTGGAGCTCATGGTACTTAATGATCACCTTGATACATATATTATCGATATGCTATTCAGCAGTGAGTTCTCAATGTTGAATGGAATTGCCAATCTTCTTAGAAAATAGTGGAGACTGGAAGAGACAAAGTATATCCATTGGTGTATTTGCTCTTGACTTTAGCATTAATCTTACCTGTTGCAACTGCTACTGTTGGGAGGGTATTTTCAGCTATGAATATTGTGAAGAATCGGTTGCGGAACCGCATGGGTGATGAATGGATGAATGATGGCTTGGTTGTCTACATTAAGAGAGATATTTTTGATAGCATTGACAATGATACTATCATGGAAAGATTTCAAACGATGAAAACTTGTCGGGATCAATTGTAAAAGTTCAAAATTAAAATTTTTTTGTAATGAATATTAATTTTTAATGTTTAATATTAGCTCGAAAAAATTATTATTATATTACTATTATTGATTGGGGAAGAAAAACTTTAAGATTATAATTAATAAGCGTCCCCCTGTATTAAATTCCTGGCTCCGCCACTGGGTACATTGAGTGATGCTATGCTCAAAACGAATGTCAAGTGCAAGAAAAAAGTGAGATTTGGCAAGAATTTCCTCCTCATTGATCACAATTTGCGTCAAAATCTTACAATTGTTGCTCCTTTTCAGTTTATACACCAACAAAGCTTGTCTGTTGTCAAGGTTTAACCAAAAGGTCCTTCCGAGACAGACATGCAAATTGATATGTTGGATGTTCCAAATACTAAAATTCAGCCTACCACACCCGTTGCTAGTGAAGTTGCACCACCACAACTGCCATCCCCAGTTCCTCGAGCACCTGATGAGCAGTTGCAAGCACCAAATTCCTTTGAAGAGCTATTCTTAGCACCAAACTCCAACCAAATTGTACATTTTGGTGTAGGAGGATCTAAGCGTATCAAAGCTCCAAGACCATGCTTCTCAAGCCCAATTGTTTTCTTAAGTGTATTAATGCTCCAAGACCATGCCTTTCAAGCCCAAATGTCCGCTCTAAACACATCAAAGCTCCAAGACAATGCTTTTTCAGCCGAAATGTATTGACCGCTACGGCTGAATTTCTTCAGTCACATGCTCCTGATCCTGGCAAACACAAGAGAGAGCCTTGGATTCAACAACCCAAGTCTCTTTCGACCACCGCAGCGCCAAGCTTTTTGATCCAATAGTTCAGGTTGTGCTAACCTTTTCATATTTGGTTGTGTGTTTTCTTGCTATCTTTGCAGTATTGTGTTGATGTTGCATTCGGTTGCTGGTATTGGTCATGGCTTTTAGGTTGTTTGCATAGTTTGTGTCTTTGTTTGTTTGCTTAGGTTTCTTGTGTTTGTGGTGTATTGGTGTTTGTTGCTTGTTGGTAGTTGTTGATGACTATCTTTTATGTTTAATGCAATTTAATCTTTCTAAAAAAAAAAGGAAAAAGACATGTATTATGTTTTTGTAGATAAAATTATAAAGTGAGCATCTCTTATGGTGTGTCAAATGCTTGAGCTAAAGCCATTTTCGGCTATACCTTTGGTTTGCATCATAAAATATTTTTCTGTCGATTGTGGCCAAATCTATCTTATTGATTGTTGTCTATCAATTGTGATCAAAACTAATTTTATTGATTGCGACCTGTCGATTATGACCTGTCAACTCAGACCAAAAACACTCTAAACAGAATAGTTATTATTATTGTTATGTTTATGCAGACTTCACATGTTTATTACAAAGGAATTAAGTGGGCCATAACAAATTGAGGAAGAAGTGGGAACGTGGAAGCAATGTGTGAAATGTGGATATGTGAAATTGCCCATGATGTTGCAAAGATTGTGGTTCTTGAAGTCATGAAGGAAAACTGGCTAGCCGTTTAACTACAACCTATAAATAGGGCAAAGAAGATACAAGGAGAGACCTTCAACAGCAACATCAGTTTTAGCCTAGTTCTAGCATAGTTTGTTTGGAGTAGATCATTTCATCTTAGGAGTAGTTAATTCAGTGTAATTTCAGCTACTTAGTTTGTAAACCTTGAGAGTTTAAATAGAGATTTTCTCTGTTTGCTTGTTTTTTCAATTGTTCATTTGTTCCAAAGAACTACTTAAACTTTCAAGGCATTGAACCAATTACACAATTGCTTGATTTCTTGAGATTGTTTGGTGAAAATTGTTGTTCAATTCCTATTGACACAGGCCTTAACAGGATTTTTACTAACACTGTCATAAAAAACCTCCTCCAATGACAACTAGATGCTTTTTACAAACAACAATGCTAGGTGGCTCGAAAAAACATGGCTCGAATGGCTCGAAACACCCAAAATGACGTCATTTTGAGTGTAAAAAGATGTCGTTTTGAGCCATTCGAGCCACAGAAATTCAGGTCACCAAACATTTTTCTTTTACAAAATAGTGGTTAAAAATTGAAATGAGAGGTGATTGTGTGAAAATATTATGGAAATCATTATAGTGGTATAGCTAAAAATGGCTTTTTTGCACTGTAGTGAGCTAAAAATGGATCTAGTCATTTTAGCTTTCACTATTAGCTAGAGTTGCTTTAAATGAGTTAATCTCAATAAACTTAGTTACTATTTTTCTTGAAAAACTACAACTGACATTATCAATTGAACTAAATTAACATAAAATTAAAATTAAAAGTCAAAATTGAATTAATTAAAATAATAAAAATCACAATAAGAAGCAAAATACAACCACTATCCACGTAATTTACCCTTTTTTATATATATAAACACACATCTATACGTATATACTTCATCATTTTTTGGATTACAAACTATAGAAAAATCCTTGATCCAATATGATGTTAGAGTATTTTAATAAAATAAATTATGTTTTGATTTATATTTAAATATTTTAAATTTCAAAAATCAAACTCAAGATTCTTTTCAAATATTATATATTAATTTTGTTTTCAATGTTCCTAATCAATTTTATGTTACATGTTTTGAACCAAATGAATATAATCATGGAGTTATATGAATTTATTAAATTATTACCATTAGTTTTGTAGAGGGGATAATAGCTATTCAAATTTGTAGCCTTATTTATATATTTATATTGAAGGAAAAATATAGAATACTTACGTGTCCATATTTTCTAATTATTTATTATTCATCATATCCCTTCATATTCCTCAATCACCAAACACAACACCCTACATATCCACATTCTCTACCATTTACAATATCATAGAGTACCATGTGACCATCCTCCAAAACTACTCTTCCTTCATATTTTATATTCCTACATATAATGCTCATTATTCTTGGCTTTAATTTTATTACAGTTGCACCATTTATGGTGTTTGACTTGTGTCACTTGTTAAGATTAATCCACCAATATGCTATATATGGATCTCATACAATTGTTTGATTGGTTTAAACATACATTTGAGTTAGGATGGTAGAATTTGAAATTTACTAGGAAACCTAATATGTTTAGAATTTGATTACCTATTTATCGCTCCATTTGTTTGTGCGAAAAATGTTTTCTACCGAAAGTTTTTTCCAAACAATATTTTTAAGAGGAAACATCTTTCTGTGTTTGATGGTGGTGATAGTAGAACGAAGGCGAAAGTGGATGTGGTGGCATGGTGGTAGGGCAATGATGGCATCGATGACAATGGTGATAGTAGCAGTGACCGTGGTGATGGTGGTGTGGTGGTGGAGGTGAGAGTGGTGATGGTGGTGGTGTGGTGACATTAGTAAAATTTTAATCCAAAAAATGTTTTTTGCTTTTTAAAATTGGAAAACATTTTCTGTCCAAATAGGCTTGTTTTCCATTGACCATGAAAAAAGTTTTTCGTTGACTTTCATTTTTTACTATACCAAACACTAGAAAATACAAAAAACATTTTCCCAAACAAATGGAACGTATATGGAAATAGGTATTCCATTGGTAAACTATTATAAATAGTCATGTGTACTATAAGATTTTTTAAGAGAGATTTAAAGAAGAAAAAACTAATAATGTAAGTGGTGAAAGAAAAAATACCATAAGGCACCTAGGTGAGCAATGGATCAACTACCCTTGAGCATAGGGTTTGGATAGTGGTGTAGGTTTTGAGTATTTTATCCATCTCATATGTATTCTCTATTTTATTCATAGTGGCAGCTCTCTCTCCCTTAGATATAGGCAATTTCGGTCAAACCACGTAAATATGTGTGTGATTGATTTTTCTCTTTGGTGTATGGATGGTGTGCTTTTGTTTACACTAGTGGAATATGGTATAAATCCCAACAAGTGGTATCAAAGCTAAAGGTTGTTGATCTTCGTTGCAATTGGTAAAAAGCATGGCAACAATGCAAAGAGGACATGCATGAAGAGAGAGAAAGAAAAAAAAGGGGGGGGAGTTAGATCGATGGAGCAGATCGATCTGTTTTTTCACGTGTTGTGATAGACGTTAATCATGATGTGCTGCTACATAAAGTTTTTGGTGCTATTTTCTTGCCTTCGGGTCCACGCACGAGGTAAGAAGTTGGGAATTCTTTTTAGTTTGAGTTCATGTAGCCAATAAAGGATTACGGGTGCAATTTGGTGTAGCACAAGCATGAAATCAACTCGTTCATATTTTTTTTATTGCATCGGGGTATGTGTAATAGAAAAATTCGAGGCAAGGTAGTCTCTACGGTTTTCAAGCACTGTGGTTTCATTAGTATGGTCAGAATTTTCCTAGTAGATTCTAAACCTTTTGAAGGGATTGGACAAATTCAAGAGCGATTAAAAGTTATTGCATGTGATCTCAGTGAGCCAGGAGTAATTTGATTCAACAACAAGAAAGTCCAGTTATTGTGGGGTCAATCAAGTGGTATTTTTTTTGATTGGCCATCATGGTTAGCAACTTGAACAGGCTTGTGGAGTATGTTGTGTCAAAAGGGAAGTTGTTGTCAAACATCAAACGAGTAGTATGAGTCATGAGTAAATAGTGTGACCAACAGTTGTAGTGGCCAAAGAGAAAGACAACAAGTTATAGATTATTCATAGAAGAAAGCTTTTGAGCATAGAAATTGAGACATAGGCCGCAATAAGAAGGTGTACACCAAGGGAGAATGTGGGGCTCTTTTCTACAGAGGTTTGATTCATGGTAGTGGAGACACCTTAGGAAGGTGTGGCAGATCTCATAGGCTTGGGGACGAGGACAAAGGAAGCCACAAATGACACATTTGAGCACTATGGCGTGAGGTGCAAATAACGTGGGCACTTGGTTCAGGGCGTTCAACATCTTCTAGGTGAAGGTGGAGTGTGTCACGCAAACCAAGACATCTAGGTTGGAAGGTGCATATAACATTTACCCCACATGGGTGAAGGGGTGATTGTTAGGATTAATCCACCCACGTAATATATGTGGGTTCCATA